GTCCCAGGCACACATGAGGGTGTTTTAAGGACATTCTAGATACACCCTAATTTTTGTATGAATCTAGGACGTCTTTAGGGTATTTTGAAATATACGTTGCTTTGACGGATAATACTTACGTTTGATGTTGTCATAATCCTTATATTTAATTTTAATAAAATCCCGTTTACTGACCCCTAAAGGTCTCCTACTGCCAACAAACTGTATGACAGTATCAGGCCAGTAGCCTGAGGCAATCTTGCGCACTCTACCACTGATAGTAGTTGCAGCTTGTGCATCTTTAAGTGCATCTCTGCATATATTTACTGCAGCATAAAGAACCTAAAAACATTGTAAATATTTTATTGTACAAAAATTTAGAATCACAATTGAGTAACTTTAAAATTAATTTTTTCAAGATAAGAATTAAGTAGCAGCTCACATCACGTACATATTTTCTCAATATCAGTGTGGGATATTCCCATGATCTTTTAACAAAATAAAAATGTATACCTCTTGATGATATTATATTGTCATATTGAGGTATGTTTTTATTTAAGGTAATGTGAGGTGTAATACCGGTTGTAAGGTGTACACGTTTATTTAAAGAATAACTTTCTTTTCTAATTTCTACTTAAAAAACTTTAATCGAGTTTTTCTCAAAACTGCATATTTTCAACTTTGTCACACTCTTATTTTAAATCTTTTCAACCGAGTAACTTCAAATTTGGACAGCATGTTCCTTGCATGTGTACTTCTCGTGTAAAGTATGATTTTTAAAATCTATTAATATTTTTAAGTTACTAACAATGTAAGTTGTCAAATTGTTGTCGAAAAATGAAAAAGCCTGCCAATATTTTTTTTTTAAATAAATATTTCTCATTCTAGTTAACACGATAGCCAGGGCGGGGTTAAAGTTGAGTTTTAAAGAAAAAAATTATTTTATAAAATAGCAAAATTATTTCTACTGAAAATTAGTCTACTGTGCACACAGTACAAATGTACAGGATGGTTACAGAAGCTTACGATATTATAAACATATACATAATATATTAAAAATATATAAATTATATAATATATCATAATTTTTTACATACGCTATTCGATGCCTCGTAGTTTCTTGTAGCCGACTCTTTCTGTTTCAGAGTTTCTCTTATATCAGAAACAGCGTTCAATATTCTATTTTCTTTATCATTTTCCAACTGCTCTATTTTATTTTTCAACTGAATATTTTCAGTTGTGAGTGCGGCATTTTCCACTGTCAATTTATCAAGCTTTTCTTTTAATTGGCTATTAACAGCCTTCAATTTATAGCACTTGTTGCATTTCTGTTTATCATTTTCATAAGGCTTTACAGTTGCAACTACGGTTGTGACAGCAGGTATATTATCTAGTATTTGACGCTAAAAACAAAATCCAATTAAAAAACACATAACAAACAATAATATATATGAAAATATTGTTTAAAAATGTGTTTCTTTTTAAAACTAAAAAATATAGATGAAACCCCAAAAAATTAAAAATCATACTTAAATGTACATTAAATTTTTAAAAAACTTTGTCATACTTGAATATAAATTACAAATGTAATTTTAAGAGTATTTTTGATTCAAATAAATCATCTTTTATGTCATGTGGATAATCTAAATCGTTAAGGTCATGTGAGTGTGCGGTCTGTAAGAATAATTTGTCCGTAACTTTTCTCATAATATGCTGAATGAATTGAGCTAAAATTTTGTACAGGAATTTAAAATAAGATAAAGTATGGTTGTGAATTGAGAAAATGTTGATATATTGTTAAATAAATATATAAAAGGCATCCCTACTAAAAATCCCTGTACAAGATCTTGTACAATTTCCTGTACAGGATCAGCAACTGAACTTGTACAAGTTCTGACCAGTTCCTGTACAGGAAAATGCATACGAATTTGGAACAAGTTCATGTGTGAGATCTTGTGCAAGATCTGGTGCAGGATCTTGTACAAGAAAGATACTTGTACAAGAAAATGTACATACATGATCTTGTACAATTTCATGTATAAGTACTTGTATATGAACACGTCCATGTTCTTGCATATGTTAATTCATGTTTTTCTTTACTAAAAATTAAAAACTTCAAAGGCTGCGCAATAGTTTTTAGCATACATGAGTTACGAATCTTAGTGGTTAAAAATTATCAAAATCTCAAATTTTATTAAAAAAAAAAATTTTACAACTATACATGTGCAAGAAAGTGAACGTGTTCATGTACAAGTACTTATACATGAAATTGTACAAGATCATGTACATTTTCTTGTACTTGTATCTTCCTTGTACAAGATCTTGCACCAGATCTTGTACAAGATCTCACACATGAACTTGTTCCAAATTCGTATGCATTTTCCTGTACAGGAACTGGTCACAACTTGTACAATTTCAGTTGCTGATCCTGTACAGGAAATTGTACAAGATCTTATACAGGGATTTTCAGTAGGGATAAAAATTGTTGGAAAATCCGAAACTCCTAACCCCACATTTTCTAATTATTTTCAAGTGTTCCTTATCATATTTGGAACTCCTTCATAAAATTTCATCTCAATCCATTCAATATTTTACGAGAAAAGTTACAGATAAATTAAGAGGGGGTTCATTTTTTTTTTAAAATGATTTTTGAAATTATATTTTTCAAAATATTCGAATTTTACCATTTCTTTGGAATTTTTCAGTTCACCTAGAAGCTACATATGTAAACTTTAAAATTGTTTTTTGGATTGGATAATTAAGACAAAAATTGCGCTCTCTATCGTACCAACCGTGTTTTAAGTCAAGAAGTGCATCGCCATAAACAAATACTTTTAACTTGTCTATTTTTAAATAATTTTTGCCAAAATTTTTTTTACAAATACTTTAAATATATACAAAAAAATCCCAAAAAGTCTCAAGGTTTAAATTATTTTGTTCCTTTTTAAATAAATTCTTAAAAAACGCTATTTTTAATTCTTCTAAACTAGAATACCCCCTGAACATTACAGACCTAACAGTCACATAACATTAATAAGTCAGGAAAGTTCGTTGGTTAGCCCTTTGAACTTATGTTTTCAAAACAAAATATTATTATTTGGAATAATGTATTTAATAAAATATGTAAAAATTAGTTCATAGAATATTGACAATAATTATGCATATTATGACGTATTGAAAAAAACACCTACATTATCTAAGAAAGCAGCGTAACTGCTAGCATCAGCTGTTTTAACTTCTTTTTCCTTAATAACTTTTTGGAGATCCTGCAAAAGAAATTGTAATTAATACTGACTCAAAAATGAGATTGGCAACGCTAACGACTTAGTACATATGCTTAACAAATAGTTCGAAAAGTATACGCTGACCATCAACCGGGGATATTATAAGACAAAAACCCGAGAAAAAATAAAAAGTAAATTCGAGATCAATTTTTGATCTACAAAAGTATAAAAAGTATAGCAAAATGAGATTTTCCCATACTTTAAGTATGGGACTAGTAAAGTATTGTAAAAATATATATAAAGTAAATATGAAGTCGTTTTGAAGTATTTATGAAATATTTATAAACTATGGGTAAAGTATATAATTTTTTATAAAGTAATTATAAAGTATTTACAAAGTATATATAAAGAATTTAAAAAGTATATATTTAGTATTTATGAAGTATCTGAAAAAATTTATGAAAAGTACGTAAAAAGTATATATCATATAGTTATTAAGTATATATGAAGTCCTTGTTAAGTATACCTAAAGTATTTGTGAAGTATATGAAAAAGTATACGAAAAGTACATAAAAAGTATATATAGCAAACACTTATGAAGTATATATTAAGTCCTTAATAAGTATACCTAAAGTATTTGTGAAGTATATGAAAAAGTACACGAAAAGTATATATAAAATATTATGAAGTATAAATGAAGTACTTGATAAGTATACCTATAAATTATTTGTGAAGTATATGAAAAGTATATAAAAAGTATACATCAAACAGTTATGAAGTATTTATTAAGTTCTTGCTAAGTATACCTAAAGTATTTTTGAAGTATATTAAAAAGTATACGAAAAGTACATAAAAAGTATTTATATCAAACACTTATGAAGTATATATTAAGTCTTTAATAAGTATACCTAAAGTATTTGTGAAGTATATGAAAAAGTATACAAAAAGTATATATAAAATATTATGAAGTATAAATGAAGTCCTTGGTAAGTATACCTATAAATTATTTGTGAAGTATATGAAAAGTATATAAAAAGTATATATCAAACAGTTATGAAGTATTTATTAACTTCTTGCTAAGTATACCTAAAGTATTTTTGAAGTATATGAAAAAGTATACGAAAAGTACATAAAAAGTATATATACATCAAACACTTATGAAGTATATATTAAGTCCTTAATAAGTATATCTAAAGTATTTGTGAAGTATATAAAAAGTACACGAAAAGTATATAAAATATTATGAAGTATAAATGAAATTAGTATACCTAAATTATTTGTGAAGTATATGAAAAGTATATAAAAAGTATATATCAAACAGTTATGAAGTATATAATAAGTCCTTGCTAAGTATACCTAAAGTATGTGTGAAGTATATGAAAAGTATACGAAAAGTACATAAAAGTATATATCAAATATTTATGAAGTATATATAAATTCCTTGTTAAGTATATCTAAAGTATTTGTGAAGTATATGAAAAGTACATTAGAAGTATATATCAAATGGTTTTGAAGTATATATGAAGTCCTTATTAAGTATACCTAAAGTATTTGTGAAGTATATCTGTAAGTCTTTCTGACGTATATAAGGAATCTTTATGAAGTATATGTAAGGAATTTCTGCAATATTTATTGAAGATAATTTTTTAAGTTTTGAATTTTGAAGAGTAAGGATTATGCTATTTTATATAAAAATTGTAAATAACTGACTATTTAATATATTATAAGCTGATTTTTATTTATTAATATTCCTCTCTATCTACGATAATTACAATTTTTATTTAAACGTAAAAGTTACTGTCAAATAATAATTTTCAACAAACAATTATTATTCATATTCTGACAGTGTCGCGGGCTCTATTGCGTAGACGACATTTGGCTCCTTTGGCTTTCCTGCAATTACAAGTTTAAAACAAACTGTAATTAAATCGTTGACATCAATTAAAAGATATTCTTCGTTTTGAGAATTTGTAAATTTGTGAATAAATGATAAACAAGTATTTTGTAACGGAGCAAAGAAGTTATTTGTCGTCTTACACTTTTTAACAATAGCATATAATTTGCAGTTATCATAGCATGCATTACAATTTTTACCACATGAACATGTTGACATTCTGAGGAAACATTGGACCACTCCAATACTTTTAACGCCATTGTATCGATATTTCACACAACATGTTGTGGTTTTAAACTTTGCGTCGTACATTTCTGAAGAATAAACTAGGTTACTTTTCAGAAGTCTGTAAAATACATTTAAATTAGAACCAATGTTAAGTCCAAATGATGTCAAACAATTTCGAAATTTTTCAAATGACTCATTAAACTGTTTACATTTGCCGATAATGGCGATTTTTTCCATCACAAAATATGCTTTTAATCTATGTGTGCCGCTCTTTTCTATTTTTTTGCAAAATTTATAAGCCAAAGAACCTACCTGTAAAACTTTTGATTTTAATTCTGCATGGCACATCAACATATTTGCAGCTGAACATATTTGTAATTCAGCATATTTTGTACCATGAACCATACTTTTCAAAATTCCATTCATACTTTCAAATGCGAAACACGACGTTACCCACAGAGGACCAAAATCTAAAACACCGAGTGCTAAATGACGCAGAGAATGCAAATTTGATGTCATATGGTCTAAGCCATACAAAACTTGGAATTTGCTCACATATTCTTTAAGTGCTCTGTCTGCAAGATCAACCATATCTTTTGAAACGCTTTTTTGACTTAACAAATAAATGGCTAATACAAGAAGTTTATGGTGCGATAAGTATGGTTCTGGCAGAATGTCGTTCAAAATCGGTAAAGAATAATATAGAAGCCATATTTTTAATTCTGAAGCTTTCCAATACTTATGATCTGAAATGTTTCTTGACAGTCTCTTTACAAACGATGGAGGAGTTAAAGATGTTATTCTTTTATCAATAACTTTTATAAACTTTGACAAAGACCAAGATTTTCCATGAAATTTAGAGTGAAACCACAAGAATAAAAGTCGTTTTACAACTCCTAGGAATACACAGTGCATTGCGTCAAGAGTCATCGTTCGAATAAAATCATGAGTTATTTTCGATAATACAGAGGGTCCTTTTACTCCAAATACGGGTTTTTTTTCTTATGAGCCTTTGCAGCGAACTTTTCTGTTTCTGATGACGTCCGTAAGTTCAGTTCATCTTGGTGTGGATATACACGAAGATTTTTTCGCAGTTTTTTGGTTTGGATTTTGCATTTCGGGCAACCGAATTTTGAATTGAATTGCTTCGTATTTAGAAATAAAGATCGCGCAGGTGAATCACAGGTTCCACATATTACAATACCCCTTACTTTCACTTTATTCGTCTTTCCATGAATTGTAAAATTTACACCATTATACAATTTTTGTAGTGACTCTTGAAGAAATTGTAAAAACAGATTAGGAGAAGGTTTTGAAGGACCGAACCATAATCCGGCAAGAATCATATTTTCCTTTTTAATTCGTTCTGCGAATGGTAGCTCATTGATGGTGAAATAAAATGGCCATATGCTAATTTTAGATGACTTGAATAACGGCACACCGTCTGTATTCCACATTAGCGAAATATTGTTAACACTAGACAGAATGTTGCCATTTTTGCTAAGTTTTTTATATATTTTACCGTCATAAATATCTTCCAAGTTATCTTCGTTTTGTTTTTTCCGTGTAAACCTATGACTTAAACTTGCAAAAAAACCGGGTCGTTTGAAAAAGACTTGTAATTGCGTTAAAAGAGGTATTTCGATTAAATAACTTATTCCTTTAAATTTTTTGCATTTAGTACACTTGGATGAACGCGATGGTAGTTTTTTTAAACATTTCGAACAGTAATAATGTCTAACAAGTGGTACTCCAATATTTCTAAAAAATTTTTTAAAAAAATAAAGGGTTTTTTTGCATAAATTTGGTTGTATACAGTGCATTGCAATCACTTCTAGTATGCTTGCTAAACAGGATCCTGTTAATTGATATCTTATCAGAAGAGACAAAATTACGATCATACTTTGCGCAACAGTTAACGGTGCTCCTGGATATAAAAATTTATCGTTTTCATCTTCATCTTCATTTTCGCTGCTGCTGCTGCTGTCATCTTCATTCGAACTACTATTCGTTTCTTCTTCTGATTCGTCACTTTTGACATAATCTCGGTGTTTATTGCAATCACTATTATCATCGCTAGAATCTTCCTTATTTTCTTTATTTGCATGTGTACTTGTGTCTGAGCTGTCAGAGCTACTCTCATCAGTGGATTCGTCACTGCTTCTCGAATTCTCTCTGCTAGAATTCCTCGATTCATGATTTTCAAATTCTTGATCTGCATAAAAATTATTCTAATTATACTTATAAGAATTTTTTTAATTTATAAATTTTTTTAAATAATTTTTTCTGGCTTGCATGACATAGTGAAATTAAAATTGCCAATTGAATTATTGTCTTGTAATAAAAATTACGAAACATAAAAATCTGTGAACAAGAACTATTATAAATAATTTGTTCTGAAAAAGAATTAATAAAATCACGATAATAATTTCTTATAGAAAAAATAAACTATAGTAGACTTTATTCGCAAATTATAAAATTCTGTAATTTTTATTTGAGGACAATTTTATTTCAAAAAGTTTTTATAATTACAAATTTTTACAGAAAAATAAATTTCTTTATTTATTAAATTTATAATTTAATGTAACTATTACAATTTATTTTTTTAAAGAAATTTATAGTGAGAAAAATTATATTTCTCTATACAAATTTATTTTTATAAAAACAAATTATAATTACAATAGTAAATTTCATTAAAAAATTTTTTCAGTATTTTTTTAATTTTAACTTTAAAAAAATAATTTAAACATGTTGTTTTATGTAATTAGTTGTAGGTTCAATTGTAATTTCAATTTGTCATAAATATAAGCAAAGACAAAAATTTTAAGTTTGAAAATGGCTTCATAAAAATTACACATACAAAAATAATTTTTAGTCAATTTTTTATCCGTTTATTTATTTATTTATTATTATTTATGTATTCATAATAAAAAATCCCATTATATTTATCAAATTTGTAATGAAATCAATAACATATGCTCTATATAGTATATAGAAAAGAATATTTTTGAAGTTGAGTGACGTTTTTTACCTGATAAGTCATTACTTGGTGCATTTTCGAAAATGGGATCTTCAGTCTCATCAATATTTTGCTGCAATTTTTTCTTCTTTTTGTAGTCATGAAGAAGGCGATATCGGCTAGGCCGGGAATATTCACTAAATGTACGTCTTTTTTGCATTTTTATATTCCAAAAAACTGTTTAATGTTTTGTTGACAAAACAAATAATAATCGACACATCTTTCTTGTTCGCTTTTTTTCTGCTGGAGCTAAGATCGATGCATCATACAGGGCGAACGTGACGTACAACTAGCGCGCTTATCATTTGTTTTAAAAAAGTGTAATGTCATGCAAACCTACAAAATTTTGTCTCGTTTTGTGGAAAAATACTAAATGTAAAACATACTCAATTCTGCCAGAAAATCGGATAAGGACAATTAAAAAAGGAATTTTTGAAGCAAAGTGGAGAAACAAATATTACCCTGCAAGAATCTTACAAAAAAGTGGTAAGTTAAATGCAAACGTCATTGAATTTCTGAATGCATAATTTTTATATTAACGAATTTTTTTAACTTGAATTTTCCAATTTTTTTAGTTTTTTATTTTTTTAATAATTTTTCACTACTTAAATTTTTTAATTTACATTTGTTAATTTTTATTGTTAATTTTCGAATTAAATTTGAATTTTTAATGAAAATTCGATTCTTATTTCATAACCTAATTTTTTTTATCACATTTTGTCACAGCCTTCTTTTACCTTTATATACATGTATAAATACTTTCAATAATTTAAACTTTTTGATTATGCAATTATTGCAGACAATAAATATAAATAATAAATAGTTGGAAATTTCCTTGTAAAAAAAAATTTTTTTAAAATGTTTTTTAAAAAATGTTTTCAAATTTTTTTTAAAATTTTTTTTTAAATTTAAATTTACAATTAAATAAATAAATAAATAAATAAATTTTTTTCAAAAATTTTTTTAAAATTTTCCATAACAAAATTTTTATTATTAAAAAAAGGTTTATAAATCAAAAACTTCATTTATAAATAATAAAAAAATATAAATATTAAATGTAAATAAAATATAAAACAAAAAAAACAAATTTTTAAATATAAAAAATGCATTATAATAAATAATTAATACAAATTATATATTTTTATATAAATATTAAAACAAAATTTTTTTCTCTTTTTTTTAACAAGTGTATCACATAAAATTTATAAAATACATATTTTGAATAAAAAGAAATTACATGTAATTTAAAAACTATCTAATTTAATTTAATTTCCACTGAATTTAATTTTCTAAATAAATAAATAAAATTTTTAGAAGACAAAAAGTGGCTTGAATCGTTGACAGTGGCTACAGATGGAACTCTAAGCATTGAAGTTAGCTCGATTAAAAACAATGCTGCAAGAATGGAAGAGAGAAAAAAAGTAGTCGACATGGAAAAATAAAATGATAAGAATAAAAGGTCTGTTGAAGAGGATTTGGAAAGGGAGTTAATTCAACAATCATCGATTTTTGAAAATTATGGGGAATCATCCATGTGTAATATGGACACTCGTTTACTGTCTCCCTCTAATAATTTGGACGAATCTGAGGAGGATTCCAGTACTGAACCTCCTAATTCTGAAATCAATGCTGAAGATTTTGGTTCACAACAAAACCTCAAGAAAGGTTCACCAACAAAACCAGACAACGGCCCGGATTCAAATGCTCCAAGTGGTTCGCATTTCAATGACAGTTTTGCTTCTCAACAGGATGACGAAGAAGGTTTAATATCAAAATAATATAATTTTTAATTTACCTATAACTTATTTTATTTTTAACAATTTTCCAAATCTTTCAGTCACTATTGAAAATATACGTTTTTTGGAGGGGATTTTGAGATGGTCAAAAGATAAATTCAAAGAACAAACTCGTCAAGACTATGACAGTATCACTGGACAGCCCTCAAGTTCTCAGGTTTATATGTCTTATCATTTTTATTTTCATATTTATAAAATAATTTATTTGTCATGTACAAAATAAACATATAATTATATTTTTTTTATTAGGTACCGGTTATGGAAGAAAACCCAAGAAATAAAGTCCTTGGAACGTATCGAATTAAAGGACTTGGAAAGGTATACATAATATTTGTAATTATTAAAACTTTTTAAACCTTTTAGAGTATCATCTGAGTGTCTAAAAATTTCCTTGGGATTTCAATATTAATATTTACATCATTTAGGAAAAATTTTAAATAAAAATTTTTCTTTTTTAATTCAAAAATTACATTTGACATTTTCCTTTGGACATGAAAAAAAATAATAATAAAACAGCTAATAAATTATACATATTTTATAGGTTGAAATTGCTCCTGACACAAATATTTGGATGGACAAAGTGGAACTCGAATTTATTAAAACAGAATTTCGAAAAAATCCAAAAGAAATGGCACGAAAACTGATGAAAAATTTGCTGGGTGAAAATAACCTAATTAACATGTCGCCAACTGGAAGAGGAGATCATACGGCCATACCTAAACAAGTCCTAGATAATGTTGAATGTGAGTTTTACGAAAGTAGAAAAAAATAGTCTGTCTTACAATAAACATTCAACTCTCTAAAACTGAATCAGTGAAAATATACTGGTTCTCAGTGACCCTCTTCTCAAGATATGAATCAGTGAAATTTCATTGGGAATCAGTGAAAAATGACTGAAGTGTCAGTCATTTTCTACTGATTCGCCAGTTAAAAAATGACTGAAATTTCAGTAACCATTATTGAAAATTCCAGTCATTTTTTAACTGGCCAATCAGTTGAAAATGACTGAAACTTCAGTCATTTTTCACTGATTTCCAATGAAATTTCACTGATTCATATCTTGAGAAGAGGGTCACTGGGAATCAGTCATTTTTCACTGATTTACCAATGAAATTTCACTGATTCAGTTTTAGAGAGAACGTAGATCATAGAATGTCACATACATTCACATATTTTAATATTTTTAAATTTTGTTATTAATTTTGATTTTTTCAAAAATTCAATTTCAAAATTTAATTACTTTTAATTTATCTATTCCAAAGTTTAAACATTAGTTATTCAATTTTTCTAAATTTTAATTTTATAATTTATGGAAAAATCGAAAAAATCACTTACATTTAAATTTTCTTCTTCAGTTCACTTTCTAGTCTCCTATTTTCGAAAAATATTTCACCTTTTCCCACTTTTTTTTACAAAATGCATTGTAATTCCTGATTAATTTCTATTGAAAACCAGTTAAACTGTGACACATCTTCTGATTTTGCCCTAATTTTGATAGTTATTTTCGTATTTGTAAATTTTTAAAATTAAAATTGAAGAAAGACAGAAAATAAAAAGGGCTATCAAGAGCCAAACAAATCTAAACAGCCTATTGCAGTTTAATGATTTCTAATTGTCTACTTAATTTCAAAATATCTATAAAAATTCTTTATTTTTCAGCATTTGTGAAGGAAAACGTTAAAAAAGGATTCAAAATTAAACATCAAGAATATATTAGAACGTTAACTTTAATGTGCAATACGCTTCGCAATCAACTCAAGGCGAAAAACAAAACTGGAAATGATTCAAACAAAGGAAAACAAACCAAAAAGAAGAGAGGTGCAAAAAACAATGAAAAAGTGGACAAGGAAAAACAGAAAAATGGAAATCGCAAGAAAGCCTCGAATGAAAAAGACGAAAATTCAAGTGCTACTGAAGACGAAAATCAAGAAGAAATTGAAAATACAAGAAAGAAACGAAAACAAGATTTGACTGTGATTGATGAGAATCGGAACGAAGAAATTAAGAAAAAGAAGAAGAAACATGAGCATGAACAAGAAAAAGGTGACGAAAATCTGAAATTGTCAGAAGAAACAAGAAATGAAAACGACGATGTGAACTTTAGTAAAGACAGTGATGAGATCTTAAAACTAAAAGAGGGAATTAACAAAGATCAAAGTAAAGAAGGTAAGAAAAAAAGGAAAAAAAAGAGGAAACAAGGTAACGAAGAGAAAGAAGACGAAGATAGTGCAAAATGGACAGAAGAAAGTATTAGCGGAAATGAAAAAGAGAATTTGAATCCAAGTGAGGAAACTGACGAAATTTTGGAAGTAAAAGATGGAATGGGTGAAGATCGAGATGAGGAAAGTAAGAAGAAAAACAAGAAAAAGAAGAAACAAGTCAATGAAGAGGAAGAATGAGAAAAAACTGAGAAATTTTCAATGAAGCAGCAGTAGAAATGAAGAAAAGGATGAAGTTTCGAATGAAGAGAATAAAGAAAATAAAGAAACAAAGCTACGAAGAGAAAAAAATTGAAAAAAATATCGAATGAGAATGGAATGAATGAAGACGACAAAATGAGAGATAAATAATTAATTTTTTTAATAATTCGTTAATTAATTTAAAATTTAGAAAAAAAATAATTTTCAATATAGTGAAACCTGTGTAAGTGGGACATGTGTAAACCGTCCCAATTAAAGAGGTTTTATTGTATCTACATTTTTACACTTACACTAAAAAAATTTATTTTTAAAGAACGATGTTAATTTTTAATAAAAATTTCATTTTGTTCCGTTTTTAAATTACGCTTACTTAATTTGAAATAAAAATGTTCAAGAAAAATTTTATATTTTTGATTGGCTTTAAATACTTTTAATATACTTTTGCTATATATACCTATAATATGCTATATTTAAATAGTACTTCCAAATTACTATTGATATACTTCAAATATACATTATATATACTTGAGATTGATTATGGAAAAATTTCATATATACAATTAGTAGACTTTATAGATACATTAAAGCATTTAAAAAACGATTCATATATTTTTGCTATACTTTAAATATATTTTGCAAATATTTAGACAGATAGATACTTCCAATTTAATAACAAAATACTCCAAAAATACGTAAAATATACTTTAATAATACTTTTTTTCAAATGTATTTTCAGCATACCTTTTCCATACTTATACTTGCAGTATGGGATGTACTATACTTTAAATACATATATTATAGGCTAGAGGAGTGACAGATGATTAGATGATAGATCTCTCCGATACTAAAATATTTTTACACGGGTATAGCAAATAAACAAAAAAATTTATTTATGGTATACTTCAAATATACTTCAAATATACTTTAGGAATACTTTAAATATACTTCAGAAATACTACAAACATACTTCAAATTTACTTAAATATACTTCAAATGTATTTCAGATATACTTCAAATATACTTTGTATATATACTTCAGCTATTTACTTCAATGATATACTTCAGCTATACTTCAAATTCACTCAAAATATACTTTGTATATACTTCAGCCATACCCCAGCTATTTACTTCAATTATATACTTCAGCTATACTTCAAACATACTTTAACTGAAATTCAGATATACTTCAAATTTACTTCAACTGTACTTCGGATATACTTTAAATATACTTTGTAGCTACTTTAGCCATACTCCAGCTATTTACCCTAATTATATACTTTAGCTATGCTTCAAATATACTTCAAATATACTTTAAATATACTTTGTATATACTTTAGCTATACTCCATCCATTTACTTGAATTATATACTTCAGCTATACTTCAGATATATTTGATATATACTTTAGATTTACTTTAAATATACTTAAGATATATTTTAGATATATTTTAGATATACTTCAGATATACTTCAGATAAACTTATCTACATATACTTTGAGTATGGGATAGTCTCATTACATATACTTTACATATACTATATGATAGATCACTTATAGACTTTTTGCCATACGTTTTACTAGATCTCTCTAATACTAAATTATTTTTACACGGGAAATCGCAATTATAGTTTATGCTACAAACTATCACGTTCTAAAAATAATTTTAAAAAAGTTGCGTAAAAATTATTATCATTATCATTATTATATGAATTTCATTACAATTTGTAAACATTTTTAGGTTAGGAATTATATTTTAAACAAATGTAAAATTAAGACGTATAAGCCTGAGTAAATAATGTTACTTTTCATTTGGGTTATGTTGTACTTTTTGTAAAATCGTGTTAATTAAAAATTGCGTACATAATTTGATATGGATCCGGTATAGTATGTTCTCTAAATATAAATTAATAAGAATTGTATCTAATTCAAATACGAAATATGTTTCATTTAGATTTCATTTAAGCCTTTTCTCCAATATGTTCCTAAATGTTTGCGTTGTGTAACTAACGCGATGGTTCGCAAGCGCAATGACGTCATGAAAGCATTGATAACAATCGCGAACAAAAAAATTTGGTTTATGTTCCTCTTATTTCTCTTTTCCAACTTTACAATTTTTAATGCAAATGTTTTTCGACGGCTTTTAATAATTTTAATTATTTAATATTTATAATTAAAAAATGTAGTATCTTAAAATAATAAACCAATCTTTTTGTTCGCGATTGGTAATAATGTTTTGATGACATCACTTAAATTGAATTTATAAATTAATGTTCTAATTAATTAACTGACAGATGTAGATTAACCCTTTAATGGCCGAGTTTTTTGTCGTTACTTTAGACTTATAATGTATATTAGATTTAATTACTAAAATATTCAGTATGAGAAAAAAATTTTTTTTAACATGTCTCACCCCTTAAAACCACCCCCACGGTACATTACTACCCCAAAAAACTGATATTTAACCAAATTGATGAATTAAATATTTTTCAGCTCTTATCTACTTTTTATTTATTTATAAACATTGCCTGGTTGCTTAAAAATTGAAAAGGATCAATAACCCCTTGAAAACACCCTCAAAGTCAAATAATCATCCCTTGACGGTGAAAGTTTTTGTAAATGATTAAAAAAAATCTATAGATTCTAATTGCTTCTAAATTATAAACAATTATTTGAAAGTTACACAGACATAGATAATAATAATAATAATAAACTCACCCCCTACCCTTGAAGCCCACCCCTAATTCATAACTATTCTCAGTTTGGAACAATCAAAAAAATAATTTTCACTGATTTTCGAAAATATGAAAAAAAAAATTTTCTATGATAACTAAGTATTAATACTGAATATAAACAACCCCTGAAAAACAACCCTTAAGTCAAATAACCACCCCTTAATGATAAATGTTTTTGTGAATAAATGAAAAAAATTATATGGATTCTAAGTGCTTCTGAATTGTAAAAAAGTATTTCAATGTTTCACAGATATGGATAATAATAATAAACTCACCCCCTACCCTTGAAATCCACCCCTAATTCATAAGTTATAAGATACTGAATTCAGTTTTCAACAATCAAAAAAATAATTTTCACTGATTATTATCATATTGAGTAATGCATTGAGTACATACTCAATGCACTCCCCTCCACGATGGCGTAGAGGGGAGTGCATTGGGTAAATGAAAGGGGGGGTACGACGGTAGCAAAGAAGCTCCCATGTGGAACTGCTGTTATAAGGCAATCAGCGCGTCGTTTCGTTTTCTCTGTGTAGCGTTCTCCCACTACCTCACCGATTGAGCCTGGGTCTGTAATTTTCATTTTAATACTAGACTCCTAACAACAGGCACTAAAAGCTACAAAATTAATAGGCAATAATGACACCAGCATTATTTTGCAATTTTAAAAACTGACATCATATTCGTAATTATCGACCCCGAAAACCCCTGAGTAATAAGTTTCAGATGAATCTAATGAAAGTTAGTCATTTCGTCCGCCATATTGGATCCGCCATTTTCAATTTTCTAAATCTGATATCGGATTTGTAATCAGCGACCCCGAAAACCCCCCAAGTGATAAGTTTCACATGAATCTAGTGAATTTTTATATTTCTCGGTCGCCATATTGGATCCGCCATTTTGAATTCTTAAAGACGGACATCGGATGCGTAATCAGCGACCCCGAAAACCCCCGAGTGATAAGTTTCACGCGAATGTAGTAAATTTTTATAATTATCGGTCGCCATTTTGGTTCCGCCATTTTGAATTTTTGAAAACGGACATCGGATTCGTAATCAGCGACCCCGAAAACCCCCGAGTGATAAGTTTCACGCGAATCTAGTAAATTTTTATAATTATCGGTCGCCATTTTGGATCCGCCATTTTGAATTTTCGAAAACGGACATCGGATTCGTAATCAGCGACCCCGAAAACCCCCAAGTAACAATTTTCAAGCGAATTTATTAATTTTTAAAGGTTTTGGTTTTTAGGGGTAGTTTTAGTTATTTTTCTGCACCCTCGGGTTGAATTTTTAATATTAATTTTTTTTACAAAGGTTGCAATATTTTTAAACATATGTTACTATGAAAGCCTGAAAAAAAAATTTCTTCTGAAATTTATACCTGTTTTTTCATTTTTCTCATTTTTCGGGTTTTTTGAAGGGGTGTATTTCAAAGAGGGTAGTTTTTTAAAAAAATACATGTATTTACATTTGTTACTCTATCCCTCCCCTTCAAAATGAGATCTTAGTGGAGTTAATCGATTAAGTTTTAAGAAAGTTATGATTTTTTGAAGTAGGTGGGACGTATGTGTCCCACTGGCCATGAAAGAGTTAAAAGTAATATACATACAATAAATAAATAAATTAAAAAATATGTAATTTCTGCATACTATGATCGGATATTTCCATTTTTCTACTAATTCATACGTAGAATTAATGTTTAAACGCAAACCAGAGAAATACATAAATTTAACGCATGGAGGAATCGAACCTATCGACTATGAACCTAACGCTTTACCAACTATACGCTACGTGACAACGAATGTTAACGTCTTGATGGCATTTAAACTTGCAAAATACCTAACTCAGTAAAGTGCTTAACATCATTTAGTTAAAGTTAAGATATTAAATTATATTATCCAATTGAATGTAATTTATAAAATGTAATTAATTATATGCTTTATGATTATTATCATGAATCGTCACAGATGAATTTTCAGAAAAAATAAAAATATATTTTTATTAAAAACGCGTTTTTCGTTGTTTTAAATCATTGTAAACATTAATTTTTTGGTGATAAAAATATTTGACTTTTGGACTTAAAAAAATTTTGCTAATCGATCATGTGGGCGATCCATGCGTGGCCCCTAAGATGGTCCTCATGGGGGCCATCCCAATCTTTAGCGTTGCTTAACTAACTATTGTATTCATAGCATAACCGAAAAAATACACTTATTTCTTCTTTTCGTAAAAGAATTTGTTTAACTA